TGCCCCAGGGAGAGGCTGCAGGTGGCAGAGCTCTCAGCAGCACCAGGCCTGGCACAAGGTGTGCTGCAGGTGTTGGCAGGCAGGGCTTCCCTGAGAAGCAGAGCAGGTCAGCCTACAAGCAGGCTGGAAATAAAGAAAACCTTGCAAGGGCACCTCTGGATCCATTTTATAGGAAAACAGCACATTTCCAGCTGCTGTCCATGCCAGGGAGCAGCAACTGAGAGACAAGTTCCTGTAGTTCTCATCAGCCTGTGAATCAATTATTTATAGGAAGAAGGTTCAGCATATAATCATTGAAAGCTGTCAACTTCCAGCCCACACAGAGCTTCCTCTGTGGACAGGCTGCTGGTCTGTGAGCCAGGGACTCCTCACCCCTCATGTCACAGGATTAAATGAGCAGCTGTGACACGAGGGGATCCATTACACTACAGCCACAATGAGCACTGGCACCCCAAGGCACTAACAGCACTCAGCAACATCGGGCAAAAGCCACAGGAACACAGCAAATGCAGCCCAGCATCCTTCCTAAAGGAAAAATACGGTGGTGAAAGGGCATTGGGAAAGATGTAACGGGGCTGGCACATGGAGCAGCTGGGGAAGGAGACTCTGACAAGGCTCTGTGGGGCCAGCCTGTCGAAGGCAAGGCAAGCACAGCACTCAAGCACCAGCCCAGTGCTCTCCTACCCCCACAGCAAAGCCTCTGTAGGGATCAACAGCTCTCAGCCACTCACCTGCACACCCCCAATGCTCTCCATCAGGAGACTCTGCCTTTGTGCTTCCCAGGCTGTGGCAAAGCCACCCCTAATAGTTAAGAGCAGCACAAGCAGCTTGCAGAGAGGATGGAGATTGCTGAGGCTCTGCAGCTCCCGAGGGTGGGAGCAATCCTCGAGTGCCACAATCATCAGGCAGTGGGAGCACGCCAAGAGCAGGGCAGACAGAGGCTGAAAATGAGCAGGCTTCACACTCCCAGGTACTGCAGGAAACGTGCTCATCCTCAGCTCACCAGCACTCCTTGAGCACAGCCAGAATGAGGTCTGAACATTAAAAACACACCAGAGTGCTGCTCCCAGTCTGCTGGAGGGAATAAAGGGAGGGGGATGTCTGATGGGGAGGAGAGGGCGCAGCACAGGCACCTCTGGAAGAGCCCTGCCTCTGCAGTTCAAGGTTAAACACCTCCTTTGCACTCATCTCTGAATCTGCCTCTCTTTAAAGCTGCACCAGGTAATTAGAATCATTATAACTATTATTAGACCATAATATTATTATAGCATTTTTGCTACACTTGACATCTGTTGGCTGATAGATTTAACCGGTACATAAGAAATAACTGTGCAGAGATTTCTTGCAAATGAGCACCAACACGGAAGACATTAAAGCATTCTGCATTCAAAAAGTTAATTTTATGGAAGGACACTTGAAATAAAAATTCTAAAATTAGGTTAAACCTTTAAAACATTTTGTTAAAGGAATTATTTGGGCTTTAAGTAGGCAACCATTTAAAAAATCCTGACTTTTATTTAGATGCTGAAAGACATATATGGCTTGGTATCTCCTTCAGATCAACATATGCATCTTTTTCCCATCTACTCCAGAGATTTCTAAATCATTCTTCCATCTTCCTTTCCCTCTCTCTGCAGCAGGCACTTGAATTATTTGGGCAGAGTCTGACTGCACAGGGAACCAGTATAATCAGGGCTCTTACAACCTGCTGTCTGCAAATCCTATAGAATTATCAGCAAACACACATCCAGAATAAAATACTGCTTCCTGCAGCCCATGAAGCCCAAAGGGCTTTGCAAACTAGACTTGGGATGCAATTTATCCACCACTGAGATTCAGCTGTAATCCAGAGTGGAACACAACCTTTCCATCCATATATTTAACTACAGCACACAGCCCCCTGGAGAAAAGTGAGGAAGAATCCAACAGAAGCCATAGGAAGGTTTTAGGGAGACTGAATTTTTTCCCCTGGAACTGAAATTAGGTCAGGGCATCCACCCAAGTTGGACACAATGATGCTTGCAGGTGCCTTCCAACTCAGAATATTCCATGATTCCATGACTTTTCCATCAGCCACAGACCAATACAGGAGAACAAAGAGGGGACAGCATCTCCATCCTGTTGATGGTGTCCCTGAAGCACAGCTGGATTGAACAGCTGGGTACCACAAGTTACCAGCCAGCAGAGCAGGAAGACATGAACACCCTGTGTTGTCCTTAAATTCAGTGGGGCCCAAATTTCACCCCACAGTTACGCCCATGTGCAAAGAAAGATGGAACAGCACTTCAGAAAAGGACCAATTCTTGAACCTCAGGCAGCTGAGCCCAGCAGCTTAGTACTCACAGAACTCAGGGAGGGTAGAGTTGGGCAGAGATGTTTGCTCCAGTGAAATCTATTTCAGCTCTTCCTTAAGCTGTTGGCACTGAGGTGACAGCAGAGGCCTGGTGCAGTGAGGTGTCCTGCAACCACACCCACCATGACACAATATTTACAAATAAAAATGAGTGTCATTAATCTCTCCTCCAGAACAAGTAGTTTTATCTTTTCCAGAGAAGAGCAACCACACAAGGAACTTGGAGTTGCTTGAGGAGAAAAATGCATTTTTGCTACCTTAGCCACATACAGACAAGTCCAACTCTCACTGAGGAGAGACCTATGGAGAGAAAAGGGGAACAGGAGATGCTGGACACAACTTCCCCCACGCACAGCCCACTGCTGAGGCAGCTCTGAGTGGGAAGCAGGGCTGAGGATTGTCTCCGAGCTGTGCCAGCTCCAGCAAGTGTCAGCAAGAAGCCCCAGGTGAATGAAGTTCATGAAAGCTCTTAAAAATCACCTCAGCCTCCAGAAGGAGAGCACAATCCTCCCCTACAGAGACCTGCCCATCACACCTCTGACCAGCACAAAGCAGGTTTTTCACTCTATCCATCTGATGCTTTCAATAGCCAGAGGAGCTGGGTCTGGGCAAGCTCACCTTCATGAGGCCCAGTGCTCATTAATAAGAAAAAAAAGACCAACCAAAGCAACTCAACCCCACACACTTGAGGGGTAGCCATCAGCAATTCCCTGTCACCACAAGAGAAATCCTTGTGTATGAGCCCTGGGAGCTCAGCCCAGGTCTGCTTCTGTTCAACCTTTCCATTAATAGTTTGAACAATGAAGAGAAAGCACTTTTATAAAACCTGAAAGGATGCCCAGGAGTTAAGAGCTGGAGGCACTCTGGAGGTCATGATCGGAATTGATAAACTGAAGAAAAGTTCCCAAAACACCCACAAATCAATAGAAAGAAAAGCAAGGAAAACAATGCAAAGAAGTGCACTTGGAAACACCACAAACAGAGATCAAGCACACAAACAGAGTCCAGGGGAAAGTTCTCCAGACAGAGGGAACCTGGGGAAAACTGGGGACCAGACCAAATGTGCCAGTGCTGTGACACCACAGCTCCAAAGAGCTGAACTCCCCTCTGTGATCCAGGAACATAAAATACCCAGTTCTGGGCTCCATGCTGGGTATCAGCTCTGAGGTACAGACAAACCAGAGGGTCTGGGCAGCCAGCAGAGCAGTCAGCAGTGTAAAGCATGCTGCCCCATACCAGCTGTGGAGGGGTTTCTCCATCCCTGCTCCCTCCAGGGCCAGTCCCAGCTCCCAGATTTTAACAGGGTTTACTTACAAGGACAACCAGCCACAGGACTCCTCGCTCTATGAAGGCAAGAGACAAACTGGCTGCTCAGTTTGCTGCAAGGACAAGTTAGATGGGCTGTCAGGCTCTGAGAGTGGGATTCCATCAGGGCCCAGAGGGAACTGGGCCCTGTCCAGATGTGCACTACCATCCACCACTGTCCAGCCTGGAGGCAAGCATCTCTCACCGGGCTCAGGACAGGGGCATGGACAAGGAGGCTGTTCCAGCCTTGTATTTCCTTTTAGCATCCTCCATCTGGCTACTCCTACAGCAGTGACAAAGCCAAATGAACAGCCTTCTCTTCCCCAAAATACAACAGAGCTCCTCATCCTGCTGAGGGGCACCCACACAACACAGAGCCAGCACTGCTGTGACCGTTTCCATTCACGCCTTCCTTATCCCTCACTAACACAGCTCATCAAGCTTCATTTGCCACCTGCTGCTGCAGCAGAGAAGCCAGCAGGGAATGGGATGCTGCCCTGGGGAAGGGCATGGTTTCCCAGCTTCCCTCCTCCCCTTCCACCCCACTGACCTCTGCAATGCCTGAAGCCCACAGGGGTCATCACCCAGCCATGCCCACCCCAGACACCTTAATTTGAGGGGACAGTTGTTGAAAGCCATTGCCACAAGGTGTTACAAAGCAGGTGACAGCAGAACACAGCTGCACCAAACCCAACCAGCAGCTTGGGAGATATCCAGCGAGGGGGCAAAAGCTACAAATCTCATGCAAAAGCAGGGCTTAGCTCTCAGGAACATTTCACATTTCCCAAAGACTCAGAGGGATTTGGGGTTTTGCTGAGCTGCCTGGTGAACCACAGCCAGAATGGATCTCACGGTGAGCAGGCGCCGTCTCCCTTGGCAGGGCTGCTTCCCAGAGATCCCCAGCCTTGTGTCACTTCCCACTGCAGGTGCTAAGAATATCTGCGTGCTCATAAAAAATTGCAACCAGCTATTGAGAACTTATCAACAAAGTGCTCGGCAAATCTTAATTAAAGCTGATTCACCTCGCTCACGAGCCTAAGTGGAGCGTTATTTCTCAGAGGAGAACACTGAGTGTAAGAGCTGAGGTGGGTTACAAAAGCCACGGAGGGAGTCAGTAGCACAGAGGATTAGCACATGGAAAGGCTGACTATTATCCCTAAATTTATCCCAATAATCCACTGCCTCACAAATTCTCAAGGTATGGCTGCTGTGCATTCAACCCCATCTGCTCAACCCAAGCAGAAGCAGAGACAGGTGTGGGGATGCTGGAGTATTCCAGGTGTTTTTATTGCTCAGGCTAAAGGAATTCTTCACTGTAAAAATGAAGAAGGTGGTGGCAGTAGCACCAGCCCTGCTCTTGTGCTGCTTCAGGACACAGGGACAACACAGTGGGGTCAAAGGCTGTTCTGACAGTTCATCAGGAATTGTTTCCAGCTGATTTCTTACCAAGAATCATATTTGTATCCTTTCAAATTTAGTAAATACATGGTCACACAGACAGCAGCCTCCAGGAACTCGCAACACGGCTCTCCCACCTTTGGTAGCTGGACTCCTACACTGAAGTTTCTGGGACAGTATTTTGGATACTTCCACCACAGAAATACCCTAGAGGCTGCTGAAAAACTAAGTGGATCAGGCTGGGTCATTTTAAGGCATGATTGGGGGAAAGAAAAGACAGAAACTTAGAAGTGCATCCCTTAACAGTGCTACTCCCAGAGAACAAATTGATTCAAATCATCACAGGGAGCAGGAGCACTGCAGCAGCACGTTCGGTAAATGACAGGGCGTGCCATCATCTCCTAGCATCCTCTGGACACTTATCTGCACTTAAAAGGCTCCTGCCGGGCTGTGCATGGACCAGCCTCTTCCACAGACAGCTCCACCACAGAAATGCCTCTGCAGATCACCCTCCTTTGGCAGGCACACTGAGCAACACCAGCACAGGCAGCTCTGCCTCTGCGCTGCACTCGGACTGGGTTAGTTCTAGCAGAGAAACACTGCAGAACAAAAAACTTAACCTTAAGAAATTGTGTCTATAGAACTTGGTGTAAACCCAGACCCTCCTGAAGGTGGGCAGCATCAGAGTTCAGTCAAAGCTCACTCCTAATGCAAGTGGTTGAATGCAAGTTCAACCGCTGAACTTAAACATTTTAAGGCAACATTCCAAACAGTGTTTATATACAAAATCCCATTTGCTCAGCGTTCTCTTCCTGGCCTTGTGGAATGCATCGTTTCACCAGTTCTCCTGCCAGAAAACCATATGCAGGCTTGTACCAAAACAATTAAACCAGTTTTAAAATTCAGACCTCGTGTTACAGAGCGCACACCCTCAAGAAACATCCATTTTAATATCCCAGAGCTACTTCAATTTTTCCAGCACGTTTTTATTCCACAGCAGCCTGGGCACACAGTAGGACAGAGGTCACGCAGCCTCGTGCTCCAGGCAGGATCCAAACTGTGCCTTTTGGGGGAAACTCACGTGTAAGATTTTTGTTTAAAACCCCTGAGTGTAAGGGACCCCTGCTCTGCCCCGACTGTGTGCCTTAGTGCCCCTCACAGGGCACGCGTTTGCTGCAGCACTCCAGCGGCACAGGCTGCCTG